CGATAGGAAGTTGGACGACGTTGTGGCCAGCTGCGTGTCTGTGTAGTTACGCCATGAATGGGCACGGACTTTCAGTTTTGGGAGCGGCTGCTGGCCACATAAAGCCAGGTACGCGAGAATTACATACCGGTGGTTGCTGGTGGCTCCAACGGACGTGCTGACGAGAAACCCAATTCCGCGAAGGCACCGCGTTTTCGAGAAGAAGAAGAAGGCGAAGAGCCTGAGATGGCAGACGCACGTCCGAGAGCAGACTCGACATCGATAGCACTTGCGCTACGGCTATGAGCGAGTGTCCGTAGGATGCTCGGATTCGTAAAGGAGCGCCATCGAGCACGAGTGCTGTTGCACAGAGACATATGAGTACTGAGTGGTCAAGAGACGTACGACCAGCGTAATCCGGGTGAAGTTTACCACTCGGTAGAGGAGCACACGACAGGATGGCGTGAGGTTGAAGAATAGCAGAGTTAGACACTCTGCCGCCGGTCTGGAATGGAATGGACACACTGCAGTCTGAGATGTTACCACTTGTATTTACTCGCATATTGCGCTGCTCTTCATTACAATGCAGAGCTCTGCAGAATTCAGGCGCAGAAGGACTTGCAAATAGGCGGTAGTCGCTATACGTACCGAGGGGGTGCACATTGATCTATAGATCGGAGCGCCGGGCTCCTGCCGCATTATATTATGACTCGATCCGGTAATTCACGACCAAACCAGGGTGCGGTGCTCTGTCTCCAGACTCCGTAGCATTGATCCCCCGGAAAATTACAGCCACACCATATGTAACTGCCAGGGGTGGTGTGCCGTGCGGTCTGACAGGGATGATTTCTTCCACTGGCCGCCCTTAGGCCACCACGCTGACGCTGGTCACATTTCATGGCACACCTTTCTTACGGCCCAGATTGGTGCCAAAAACTTCGAAACCACCTCGAAAGTCTACGCGGCCTCGTCTGTGGAACCCAACGGGTGGGCTTCAGCAGCTTGTGGCAGAGCTGTGCTGTTGTGAGCGGCGGCACGACGATATTTTGGAGGGGCTCCCAGTGGATAAAATAGCACTGGAAGAATGTTCTTTACAAGTAAGTCGTCGTCATAAGTACTAATTTTCAGTATGAGCATGACTATCTAAGGTATGGTACGATGTGCCTCTTAGTTTCGCCGCGAAAATATACTCGTAGACCCTCGAAGACTATGGCAAGAGAGGTCGGATGCATCGGTGCTGGCCTCCAGTCTGAGGTGGCCAAATCAAAGCAAGTCGTATCGCCCTTGTTCTCCGTATGTTGCGCACGAACGCATCAAGAAGACGAGTTATGATGGCGGCGATAGTGGTACGAAGGAAAACATGCGCACGACAAAACACATTACACAATAGTAACGCACTACCGATTCACACTAACGAGTAGATATCCAAGTGAAAATCTGCACAATGAGGACGGCACCCATTGACACATTTCGAACTTGCTCAGCATCCCGCCGCGGAAGATCAAAACCACGCTGCACTCTCTCATAAATAAGCTGTCCTCCAAACACTCTGTCCAGGCTCCGCCGCCAGCCCCAGGAGACGCACAGATGGAGTCGTTGGGCGCACAATCTTGGGGGGCAGCTCACTACGTATTCAACTGTTCGCCGCCCAGGACTCTCCCAGTCTACCGTGACATCGTCCAGATCGTCGTAGCCCTCGTCATACATATCCAATACGACCTTCGTCGACGATCGTTTCCTGACAAACGCGGCTAAAGTTCCGTCCATGGCCATCCACATATCTTTGCCTCCAAGGGGGGCCTCGGTAGCGGCACTGGCGCCTTCCATTCGTATGCTGATTCGTAGTTCTTATAGAGAGCGGTGGGTAGGCAAGATCTTGAACAAGATCGAGTTTGTGCAACCGAGCGCGCTCTCAACGGTGTAGAAGCCGAACGTTGGGCTGCAGTCGAAATTAAGATGCAGCGAGGTCAAGTGGCGATTGTTGCCGAGGGCCAAACACGCTTGGAGCCTTGTGTCGCACAATGCGGATGTCTTCACGTTACTGAAGTGGAGAACAAGAGACCGCAACGACGCACGGGGCGCTTGAAGGACTCTGCACTCGTCTCCCATGCTTGTCTCCCGGGAGAACCAAAACCTCAACTTGAGCCGGCGGAGGTTGATGTTGAGTGGCCCGTACAGGAGCCAGGCCTCGACGCAAGGATGAACATTGCTCATCTCCATCGAATTTATCTCAATCATGGCCTTCGGAGCAACGTTAACCAGTGCTGGAGGTATCGATACTATCAAGCGAGCGCAAACGTATCTCCTTATCATGCAGACTTGGGTACAACCACTCGGAACAATACACAGCCCCCGGTTAATGGGACCGACGAGTGAATTGATATTCGGGACTGGGTTTGTCTCTCGAGTTCGAGTGTCTGGCATGCTACATGCAGCTGCTCAGCCCGTACCCAAGGCTTGGTGCGGCAAAGACATAAGCATTCTATGCTCACCCCTGCGCAACCACCTCAGATCCCGATTCCCCGGGGCGCTAGTCTCAATGTCCACTGGGCTCAAACGCCGCCATCAAGACCACCCGCTCAGGGTCTCCGTCCGCGATGCCCACCTGCAGGATGTGGCACAAACTTGAAGTTGTGTGGGCGGGGCGTTGACGGCGGCGACACCCCCGACCGACGAGAATCGCCCCTAGCCAGCATCGCGCACAAGCCGAGCGGCCCGAGTCTCAGCGTTGCGCGCGAGCTCGCCGTGCCAAAAGGCTGTACACGTTTTGAGGACGGTCAGCCCGACACGGGTCTCAGCCGCGCTGCATCACGCGCAGCACCAGCGACACGGTCCTGGAAAGCTGCCACTGCCTGCGCCGCGTCTGCGCTCGCCGTCATGCCACTCCACCCCGCCTCGGCGCGATCGGCCAATCCGACGCGCCTCCACACACTACTACTACAGTACCCTCCCCGCCCGGATTCGCTGCCTACAAGTGTTGAACGAGGCGCTGCCAGGTCCACACCGTGTATGCGGGGCGGATCTGACGCTAGCGGCTGGCTAATCTCCATCGGCTCTCGCCCCTATCTGTCTGCGTCCGCAGCGGGGGCGGGGCAGAGAGGGCTTGGGCCGCGTCTCGGTCCCGAAACGTTCGTTGTGCAGATGCTGGGTTGATATCAGATGATGACGATGCTGGGGACGGTGATGCGCCAAGGCCCAAGGGGGGCGGGTGCGGGATCTGTCGCGTCGACTAATAGACTGGCACTTTGGCCGACGCGGTAGCTTCCGCCCCAGGGAACGGGTGCCTCCGTGGCGGGGACGTCGTCGTTTTCGTGCGCACGCTTGTCCAACCTCCCCTGTCTGGCTGGGGAGCGACTGGCGAGGGCCGCTGGACGACTTGTCTGGCGTCGTCGTGATCGCCGAGTGCGGACCGCCGTGAACCCATGAGATGGGTGGGTATGCAGATCGCAGCCCTACGTCATCGACCGTTGAAACAAGGTGGCGAGGTCCCCACACCGCCGGGGGATCCACGAGCCCAGACAGCGACCGCGCCGGCCTCGCTCTGCTCCCCATCCGGCCTAGCGCGGCGCGAAAGCCGATCGCCGTCGGCCTGGATATGAGTGTGATCCCGACAGCGAGCCTGACAAGAACCGTATGTGACAACTGTCTGTCTCAGCCACCCCCTGCGTCTGAAATTCGGGCACCCCGCGATCCGTTTCGTTTGTATTTCGGGCCGCGGGCGTGCTCGTCTAGCTAGGCTGCTAGCCTCGCCAGTGACCGGGACCCCGCTTTGCGACTTTGCGTCGCGGGCTCACGACATCCCTCATAGCGTGTACGGCACCCGTGCGGCTAGGGCTAGCCGCGCCCGCCAAAAGTCGTGCGTTTCGCCGCCTTGGTGGGGTGCGCGTTTCGACACGGTTCTGCTGCTGAGACGGGCCGGATATCGCGCATGGGGAGATCTCCCGACGCTGCGCGAGTCGTCCCTCGTCAGCGAGTCCGTTCGAATCGCATTCGGTATGTACACAAGCAGCCTCTCCCCTCCTCCTCCTCCCTCCCTCCCTCCGTGCTCACCGACTGCGGCAGCGCCGGCCCCCACGCGCACGCTCCCGGACTCCGTTCCGTGCAAGCAGCTCGACCGTGTCGGGACTCGTCACCCCCCCCCCCCCCCCCC